TCAGTGTGGATACAGGCTGTGCGTGTTAGTGGGAGTAGGGGTTGCGTGTGTCAGTAATGATGTTCGTGTCAGTGTGAGTGCAGGCTATGTATATTATAAGTACAAGCCCTGTGTGTCACTGTGTATCAGTGTGGATACAGGCTGTGCGTGTTAGTGGGAGTAGGGGTTGCGTGTGTCAGTAATGATGTTCGTGTCAGTGTGAGTGCAGGCTATGTATATTATAAGTACAAGCCCTGTGTGTCACTGTGTATCAGTGTGGATACAGGCTGTGCGTGTTAGTGGGAGTAGGGGTTGCGTGTGTCAGTAATGATGTTCATGTCACTGTGAGTGCAGTCTGTACAGCTCTGCATGTCACTGCGAGGACAGGCTGTCTGGGTGTCTCAGTGTGAGTACAGGCTGATTGTGTGTTGTAGGTTTTGGCAGAGCCTTGTGGAGCGGACATCACAGCCAAGCTGATGCTACCCGTTATAGTCAGCATGGCCGCCGATCCAGTCGCCAACGTTCGCTTCAACGTTGCCAAGACTTTACAGAAAATCGGCCACATATTCGAAAAATCGTGAGTGAAATCGCACGGTTGATTTTTTTCAACCGAACCGCTTTTACTGGGTTAATAGCCAGTGCATTCCTCTACAGTATACGCTGTATATTTCGCGGTGGTTTAATTTTGCGCAAATTTCAGGAACTTGACCGCGAAAATAACAACAAGCGAATAATTAATATCGAATAATACCGAATAATTCATAATTCACCGATTGCAAAAGTAACCACTTGCAAAATTGTCCGTCAAGTTAGAATTCGCGAAAATATCTGTACGCGAAAAATACGGCGTATACAGTATATTGTGCAACACTATACACTATGCTAGTTACTAGCCCATGTTCTCACATAGGTTAGTTGAGACTGATAGTAGAGGGAGGGCAGGTGTAACCTACATAACAAACTGACATTGGCATTTGTGTTTCAGTGTGATTCAGACACAGATCAAGCCAGTGCTAGACAAATTGGCTGCTGATATTGATGCAGATGTCAAATTTTTTGCTTCCGAAGCCCAGGTAAGTTTGGTGCATATTTACTCCACCATGCTGCTTCTCCCCTCTACCACGACCTTTCACTACTATTTCCTTTTCTTCTACCTCTCTACATCTTTTTCTCCACCACTCCGCTTCCTCTATCTTGTTCCACCCTCACTCGCCCCCCACCCCACTATATTTTTTCTCCCTTATTCTCTTCACGCTGTTTGCTTTGTTGAGTACTATTCTTCTATCTATGTCATCCACCAGTTTCTGTTCCCTGCATTCTACCACTCCCCGCTCTTTCTCTCACATCCTCCAGTTGATTCTTTCAATGCTACCAACTAAACGTGATTTATCCGGTTGGTGTTTCACTTACCCGGAATGTTTGTGTCTTTCAGAATGTCATCAACAAACTGGTCGCCTGAGAAGTCTTCACTAATTACATATACCGGTTAAACACTCGAATCTTCATGCAGCCACACTGGCTGTCGTCATCACTCTGTCTATAAGTGGAATTATATTCATATAAGTGTTGTGAAAGCGCACCCATATATCGTGACATAGGATATCGGTGGAATGTCACGATATACACCCATATATCGTGACATAGGATATCGGTGGAATGTCACGATATACACCCATATATCGTGACATAGGATATCGGCGGTATGTCATGATATACACCCATATATCGTGACATAGGATATCGGTGGAATGTCACGATATACACCCATATATCGTGACATAGGATATCGGTGGAATGTCGCGATATGTAACTGTGCTTTCACAACACTACAGAGGTGCCTGTGCGCAATGTCGTCTTCATGTTTCCCTTAAAGTTTAAACCTTATACTCTCTCTATACGCGGTAAACTCGAGTTTTCGGCTGCAGCTTTGGTGTGATAACTGCCCTATAACATTATTTAGGCGTTTCTTACTTGGATCATGGTTACGGTGGCAGTTACTCTGCGCTATTGCACCTGTGCTTTCCAACCTAATAGAAGGACAGAAAGACAGACTTGACCTGTATGGTGTAATGTTACTTGGCTACGCGCAGTGACTGACTGTGTCCAGTTATTATATGATTTAGCCTTGCTGAATGTAGGCGTGATTCAGTGCTGTGTGTCACTGGTGAGCACATATTCACAACTTCGTTCTTTCATTCTCTTGCCTGTTCATTGCAAATATGTCACCTCTTGTGATCGGGGGATACTGATGTCTCGCTTTGTTTTTCGTAATTAATCAAGCAATGCGTTTATTCACCCTCCAGCTGCAGTTAAGTATCATTAGAGAAAATTGATTCACGTAACACTGAATAAGAAACAGAATGGCTGGAGGCTTAAGGTGAATGTGAATTTATATTGCTAAATTTGAGTGAACGTTTTAGAATCCTTACTTCGTAATGAGCTGCTTAATTAAAAACACGTTTGACTTGAGCTAACCGATGTCAGGCAATGCTTAAACCACTTAGAAGACAAGTGTAAAATGACAGGAAACCCGTGTGTATTTATTGTTGTTGATTGAAATGTTTATTGTAGCAGTCTCACCAGACAGAGTAACACCGTCGCTCCTGTTACCTGGCTGTACACCTGACTGCCTGCGTATTCACTAGGTTGTATTGCACTTCCTTGTAGATAAATGCTACCGTATAGATAAACCTGTCTCACTCTTGTGCTTTGCATCGCATATATACCCTCACCCCAACTCCCTGTGTGTAAACCCCTTCCTTTTGCGCTACCCTTCCACTGGTGCAAATTTAGCAAAGCAATTTACATGTGTTTATCTATTCTGTAGCATTTCTTTACAGTAGTATTCAACTTGAAGAATATTAAAACTGGTTTCCTACAGAACTGTGAGAGCTCTTGATTAATCCTCAAGTATAACAGTAGTACATATGTATCCTTAAGTAATTGAACTCTCTCGACATTCGACCCCCATTTAAATCACCTGGTAACCATTGCTAAATGTCTTAGCATGACACTGTATATGTGATCAATTCAATTGTTGTCTAAGTTCATCACTGAAAAATGGTAAATAAAAAGTGAATGTTAGAATTAGGCAATATGATGTGTTTTACGTCTCTTGATTGGATCTTGGTTTTCTTATCGGTAGGCTGGTATAGTCATTTACGCGTGTACTGATCATGGAGAAGAAAAACACACTGGTAATATACTGGGGAATAATAACAATAATAATAAAAAGGGCAGTAAGCTGCTATATCTTCTATTAAGGCTTTGCAGAACGCCTGCCCCTATATAAAAGATACAAACTGGGTTGAGAGAAGAAAGGAGATGTAGCAAGAAACAGAGATGGGGTGGATTGAAAAGCCTAGAGCAACTTCTTTAAACCTGCCCGACTTACAAATACTCGTTGGTTAGCATAGTTCGAAGAAGAAGAGTTCATGCACACGTCCTGTGAAATAAAATCACAACCCCACAATTTCTAAGAGATTATCGGATAAGTCAGGGCCGTATAGGCTAAGAAAATTCCTAGGGGGGGGCAGTGACGGATCCAGGATTTGAAGGAGGGGGTCAGAAACAGGTGGGGGTCTGGGGGTCCGCCCACAGAAAAATGTTAAAATGTAGATCGCAGGAGATGGTATTTGAGGCACTTTGAGTACATGTACAGCCTTCATTCTGACTACGACAATTCTCTTGTAGTAGAACAATTTATCTTTTTTATTTTGCTCAAAAATCTAGGGGGCAGCCGCCCCTTGCCCCCCGTAGGTTACGGCCCTGAGGTCCGTGCAGCATATACCGTTCAGTACATAATCTAGCGACGTTAGTGTATTAGCGCATGCGAAATATCTCACCAGCGGAGGTATATTTTGTGATGAATATGACTTTAATATGGTTATGTCGTATCTAAACATAAATGTCTGGAATTAATTCTTATCAGCAGACCTGTGTTTATAATTGGGAGAGCGCCCTAGCCTGTAGGCTGCAAAACTCAGACTTCATGCCCTCCTGCCCTTCCGCTTGGCTCCCATGTCCTTCGCTCAGCCTCCTTCTTCTTCTACCACCCCTCCGCTATCTTTCCTGCCGCCTTTCCCCAGTCTCTCACCCCTCTCTCCCTCTCAGCAAGCTATATGATATTATATATATATATATATATATATATACAGTTTTCTTTAGTCCGTACTGCACGCCTGAAACGGTGCTCGCGTCTGCAAAATATCTTCCGAGAAGAGTGATATTTTGCAAACATTATGCATTTAAAATGAAGAGGGGTTATCCTAGCGTAGATTTATATGATAATATTTTATCAGTATAGGTCTCTCATAAGAAATAAGAAAAAGACCTTGCATGTAAGGTCCGTGCAGCATATACCAGTCAGTACATAATCTAGCTACGTTAGTGTGTTAGCGCATGCGTAATATCTTACCAGCGGAGGTATATTTTGTGATGAATATGCATTTAATATGGTTATGTGGTATCTAAGCATAAATGTCTGTAATTAATTCTTATCGGCAGACCTGTGTTTATAATTGGGAGAGCGCCCTAGCCTGTAGGCTGCAAAACACCTACTTTATGCCATCGTGTTCTTTCCCTTGCCTCCACTGTGCCTCGCTCAGCCTCCTTCTTCTTCCACCGCCCCCAGCTATCTTCCCTGCCGCCTTTCCTCAGTCTCCCATCCCCTCTCTCCCTCAGCAAGCTATATTATGAAGTTTTCTTCAGACGGCACTGCACGTCTAACACGGTGCGCGCGCATGCGCAATATCTCCCGAGATAAATCGTATTTTGCAAAGTTTATGCATTTAAAATGAAGAGGAGTTATCCTAGCATAGATTTATATGATAACATTCCATCAGTAGACATTATTTAAGAAATAGGAGGAAGACCTTGCATGTAAAGTCCCCGCTGCGTATACCAGTCAGTACACAATCTGGCTACGTTAGTGTGTTAGCGCATGCGAAATATCTCGCCAGAGGAGTTATATTTTGTGATGAATATACAGTTAATATGGTTATGGGGTATCTCGGCATAGAATTCTGTAATTAATTCTTATCAGTAAGCCTGTGTTTATAATTGGGAGAGCGCCCTAGCCTGTAGGGTGCAAAGTGCTACTTTAAAACATGCACGCCTGAAGCGGTGCTCGCGCATGCCAAATATCTCCCGAGAAAAATAATATTTTGCAAAGATTATGCGTTTATAAGAAAGAGAAGCTATCCTAGCATAGATTTTTATAATAACATTTGATCAGTAAACCTCACTTGAGAACTAGGAAGAAGACCGTGCATGTAAGGTCCACGGTGCATATCCCAGTCAGTACACAATCTGGCTACGTTACTGTGTTAGCGCATGCGCAATATCTCACCAGAGGAGTCATATTTTGTGATGAATATGCATTTAAAATGGTTAGTTGTATCTCAGCCTAGATTTCTGTAGTAAATTTTTATCAGTAGACCTGTGTTTATAATTAGGAGAGCGCCCTAGCCTGTAGGGTGCAAAGTGCTACTTTAAAACATGCACGCCTGAAGCAGTGCTCACGCATGCCCAATATCTACCAAGAAAATTAATATTTTGCAAAGATTATGCGTTTATAATGAAGAGGAGTTATCCTAGCATAGATTTTTATGATAAAATTTGATCTGTAAACCTCACTTGAGAACTAGGAAGAAGACCGTGCATGTAAGGTCCACGCTGCATATGCCAGTCAGTACACAATCTGGCTACGTTAGTGTGTTGGCGCATGTAGAATATCTCACCAGAGGAGTTATATTTTGTAATAAATATGCATTTAGTATGGTTAGGGGGTATCTCAGCATAGATTTCTGTAATAAGTTTTTATCAGTAGACCTGTGCTGATAATTAGCAGAACGCCCTAGCCGGTAGAGTGCAAAACACCTACGTTATGCCCTTGTGTCCTTCCCCTTGCCTCCACTGTCTTTCGCTCAGCCTCCTTCTTCTTCTACCGCCCCCAGCTATCTTTTCTCCCGCCTTTCCTCAGTCTCTCATCCCCTCTCTCTTTCAGCAAGCTATATTATGAAGTTCGCTTCAGACGGCACTGAATGTCTAACACGGTGCGCGCGCATGCGCAATATCTCTCGAGAGAAATCGTATTTTGCAAAGATTATGCATTTAAAATGAAGAGGAGTTATCCTAGCATAGATTTATATAATAACATTCCATCAGTAGACATCATTTAAGAAATAGGAGGAAGACCTTGCATGTAAAGTCCCGGCTGCGTATACCAGCCAGTACACAATCTGGCTACGTTAGTGTGTTAGCGCATGCGCAATATCTCACCAAAAGAGTTATATTTTGTGATTAATATGCATATAAAATGGTTAGGGGGTATCTCAGCATAGATTTCTGTAATTACTTCTTATCAGTACACCTGTGTTTTATTACTGGGAGAGCGCCCTAGCCTGTAGGGTGCAAAACACCTACTTTATGCCCTCGTGTCCTTCCCCTTGCCTCCACTGTCCCTCGCTCAGCGTCCTTCTTCTTCTAACGCCCCAGCTATCTTCCCTATCGCATTTCCTCAGTCTCCCATCCCCACTCGCCCTCAGCAAGCTATATTATGAAGTTTTCTTTAGATGGCACTGCACGTCTAACATGGTGCGCGCGCATGCGCAATATCTGCTCAGAGAAATCGTATTTTGCAAAGTTTATGCATTTAAAATAAAGAGGAGTTATTCTAGCATAGATTTATATGATAACATTCCATCAGTAGACATCATTTAAAAAATAGGAGGAAGACCTTGCATGTAAGGTCCCGGCTGCGTATACCAGCCAGTACACAATCTGGCTACGTTAGCGTGTTAGCGCATGCGAAATATCTCACCAGAGGAGTCATATTTTGTGATGAATATGCATTTAAAATGGTTAGGGCGTATCTCAGCATATATTTCTGTAGTAAATTTTTATCAGTAGGCCTGCGTTTATAATTAGGAGAGCGCCCTAGCCTGTAGGGTGCAAAGTGCTACTTTAAAACATGCACGCCGGAAGCGGTGCTCACGCATGCCCAATATCTCCTGTGAAAAATAATATTTTGCAAAGATTATGCGTTTATAAAGAAGAGGAGATATCCTAGCATAGATTTTTATGATAACATTTGATCAGTAAACCTCACTTGAGAACTAGGAAGAAGACCGTGCATGTAAGGTTCACGGCGCATATCCCAGTCAGTACACAATCTGGCTAGGTTAGTGTGTTGACGCATGTGCAATATCTCACCAGAGCAGTTATATTTTGTAATAAACATGCATTTAATATGGTTAGGGGGTATCTCAGCATAGAATTCTGTAATAACTTTCTATCGGTAGACCTGTGCTGATAATTAGCAGAACGCCCTATATAGCCCTACTAGAACGCCCTACTAGAACGCCCTACTAGCTTGTATAGGGTGCAAAACACCTACTTTATGCCCTCGTGTCTTTCCCCTTGCCTCCACTGTCCCTCGCTCAGCCCCCTTCTTCTTCTACCGCCCCAGCTATCTTCCCTGCCGCCTTTCCTCAGTCTCCCATTCCCTCTCTCCTTCAGCAAGCTATATTATGAAGTTCTCTTCAGACGGCACTGAATGTACGTCTAACACGGTGCGCGCGCATGCGCAATATCTCCCGAGAGAAATCGTATTTTGCAAAGTTTATGCATTTAAAATGAAGAGGAGTTATCCTAGCATAGATTTATATGATAACATTCCATCAGTAGACATCATTTAAGAAATAGGAGGAAGACCTTGCATGTAAGGTCCCCGCTGCGTATACCAGTCAGTACATAATCTGACTACGTTAGTGTGTTAGCGCATGCAAAATATCTCACCAGAGGAGTTATATTTTGTGATGAATATGCATTTAATATGGTTATGGGGTATCTCAGCATAGATTTCTGTAATTACTTCTTATCAGTACACCTGTGTTTTATTACTGGGAGAGCGCCCTAGCCTGTAGGCTGCAGAACTCAGACTTTGTCCCCTATCGTCCTTCCGCTTGGCTCCCATGTCCCTCGCTCAGCCTCCTTCTTCGTCTACCACCCCTCAGCTATCTTTCCTGCCGCATTTCCCCAGTCTCCCACCCTTCTCTCCCTCTCAGCAAGTTATATGATATATATATATTATATATATATAGTTTTCTTTAGTCCGTACTGCACGCCTGAAACGGTGCTCGGGCCTGCGCAATATCTCCCGAGAAGAGTGATATTTTGCACAGACTATGCATTTAAAATGAAGAGGGGTTATCCTAGCATAGATTCATATTATAAGCAGTAGCAGTAGATCTCTCATAAGAAATAGGAAGAAGACCTTGCATGTAAGGTGAAGTGGAGTGATCATGCAGTAAGAGAGTAATAGAAGTATGCAATGCAGTAAGTAGAGCATGCACCGAGGTATTCGAGATCTGCATAGAATCTCGGGAGTAAAGAAACTCCGTAAAAATCATAGGTAAACAGATTGTACATAGAAATGTGGGCTAATTGTGTGGCATACTCTATGAGAATAATAGGGTAACGCATAAAGGTTCTTGACCATGCATATATAGTTGTTTATATACTCAGCAGATGGCGCCAGCTCATGGACCGACTACGAATGTAAGTACCATTCTGAACCACTGGCACTGCCACTGGCAATGATCTCTATAATAAAATTTGTTATTAAAGAGTTAATAAATCTGTTATTATAGAGATCAGTGATCTGAACGCTTCCTTCGGTAAATAGTTGAACGTCGATTTTAATATTTTCTGCAGCAGTTGCTGACAAAAAATTGGTCGTTAATATTTGTTGATGTGCCCACATTCACATTGGCCACAATCTATCTTAATCTTATTGTTAATAATGTTATTATTTATTGAATATTGGTAAATAGTTGTATTCACCGGCACTTGAAGCGTTTCAATGAAATATATACGCAGGGGTCGTGTGCTGTGCACGGCGACAGTTAAATATATATATAATACGTATATATTTCATTGAAACGCTTCAAGTGCCTGTGGTTGTATTATAGCCTGCTTTCATTAACTGCCGCAGGCCTGCGGCAGTTAATGAAAGCGGGCTATAGTACTAGAGGCTAGTAGAGCTAACCAACACCTAGCTCCAAGAAACGGTCTTTGCTATGGTTAGAAGACCCTGTGTATATTGACGTTAGTCACACAGCCTGGTCGGGCTAACCAAGACCTATCCTGCGGCAACTGTACGCGGGCTATAGCACTAGAGAAGGCCCGGTGTCCAAAACTAGAATCGACCCATCAGCAGAGGTTCATCCTGTGACTGCGACTACACTGCTAGCTACTGTCTACTCGGTTACGTTATCGTATCGTGTGTTATCATTGAAAATACAATCACAATGATATCAATGGTGGGCTGATGGCACTGCAACGCCAACGCAGCTACGTCAGCAAAACAATTTAGCTCAGGAGGTCTGCTCAATAATAAAAAATATTCATAACTGTCTATTTTCGTCAGTATATTCCAACATATAGCGCTGGAACGCATTCACGACGAGTCATTGCGCATGGCAGGAGCGCGGAGTGAGAATGTCTATGTATGGCAGCAGCGTGGTGGAGTTCATTAACAGCAACCCGGGAAGCATCCTGTTTGATGACAGCGACGACCAGGATGACGACGCAGAAGAGGCCAGGCTGAGCGACTCTCCTGGCTGCGGCTCCTCCCCAGAACCGGACACGGACATGCACAACGTAAGCAGCTGTACAGTGGTGCCCTCTTCTGGGTGCTGTGCATGTAAGCAGCTGTACGGTGGTGCCCTCTCGTGGGTGTCATGAAAAGTTCAAAAAGTTTTGGTAATTTTTAATCAACTTTCGTTTATTCTCAGGCTGTGGTTCAGGAAATCTACCTCGAAATACTGGACGAAGTCATTCTGGGGCTGGCATTTGAGATTCATCGTTCAGTGAAGCTGGGCACCTTCTTTCTAGGAGACTCTGACCCTCAGTAAGCGCTTGCCGTGACAAACCTTGACCTTGAAATGATAATGACAGTAGAGCAGAAGTTTCGTAGTACGTATGGCAGATTTTCGGTACCAAGTACAGTTGCATAGTAGTATGTGAGAACTGAATTCCAAGCCTGAATCGACCGTATATAGTCAGAAAGTTGTTATAGTTATTACGGTGAGGTTTAGAATAGGTTCATCAGATTTTCTGATAATACAGATGACAGAGTGTGAAATTAGCACTTTTCTGTTGTAATGCATTACTTCCATTATTACTTCATAAGTAGTAGAAAAATTTGTGTATATGGTAGGAGCAATTCACCTCATTCAAGTATGTCAAGAGATGAAGTCAAAGTCAACTAGAGGCAGTTGCCAAAACTTGCTAACTGGTTAATTACATTGATTTATCGTAAAATAGATTTATTCTAATATTTTACTTGTGTTATTACCCCTAGTTTCTCATGGATTGTTTGAATTTTTGCAGGAGTTTAAAGCAGTTTGGTGAGTACAATAAACAAAGGAAGGAAAATAAACAGAAATACAATAGATGTACATATTTCACAGTTAGTTTTACAGTTAGTTTTAGATTGTACATTAAGTGCCTAACAGCAGAGGACTTTCTTGGATAACTGAGTACTTTTTTGCTTCCTGTCAAATGTGAATTCCTTACTGTCTTTGTCTCTGTCAATCTTGTTACGTACAAGCAACTACAGTTGTGCCGATTGCTCGCTGTGCAGAGATACAAGAGGAGAAGGGTCGTGATGTGTTTGGCAAGCTGCCGATGAAGAACAAAAATTATGACTGTGTGTGTCCGAACTGCTCGCGCAACCTCGCCGCCTCTAGGTTTGCGCCACACCTAGAGAAGTGCATGGGTATGGGCAGGAACAGCTCTCGGCTAGCCAGCAAACGGTAAGAGAGTGCTTGCACACATGCACACACAGCCGCACACATGCACGCACACACAAGCACCCACGCATGCATTCACGCACACACACGGACATACACACACACACACACACACACACACACACACACACACACACACACACACACACACACACACACACACACACATATATACACATGAACACATGTGCCTTGAACAAAGGATGCAGTCTTTCTCCTGCATTGTGGTGTGAGGCTTCCTTCTGTTGTATCTCTTATTCGTAATATGTAGCCTGTGCTGTGTGTCTGTTGTGTAATAGAGATACCTTGCATCTACAGAATCGCAAACTCTGGGAAGAATGACAGTGATAACGATGAAAATGATAATGACAGAGATGATGATTGGAGCTACAGAGCTGACAAAAAGGGTAAGTGACACCAGTAAAAAGACATGGTGGTCAACTAATTCTTCACTTTTGTGTATAAGCATGGTGAATGCTACCGATGCACAAACTCTTCATGAATAAATCAGCGGTGACACCAGCACAAGAATGATAAATGTCACCAGTGCGTGATGAACTGGGAGTGACGTTGCAACGTCACATGTTATCAGCATGATGACTTCGAAATGTGTGATGTTGGTCTTGCTTCATCTTCATACTGCCTAATGCTGAGTGTTGTTCTTGTGTTGTAGTGCGCAATAAAAGAAAAGACAGAAGCAACAACTCCCCTCGTAGAGCGAAGGCGTCAAAACTGGGTTGCGGTAATTATAAACCCTGTTGGCAACACATACACAGTGCCACATTGCGATATTTTATCTCCGCTTCCATTTATAGATGCTTTCTTTATCAGAAAACCACAGTGCCACTATTATTGTGATATTATTACGTGAGTGTCGTTAACCGCATGTGATGTTTATTATAGGAGAGCTGGCAACCATTGTAGTCCAATCCGGAGACCTGCCTACACCAAACTACGAGGCTCTAAGCTGGGGTGAGTACTCTCCCACCCTCACTGTGGAGGCAGGTGTACGGTGAGCAGTAGATAACTCAACAAGCGCTGATGTACCGACGTCCGAATTCATGTGCTGCATCTTGTGATTTTCAGAGGAACGTAAACTTCTGCTGATGCAGACTTGTGGAGTCATATCTGAGCATACCAAGAAGATGTGTACCAGGTAGCAGCACATTTCTTATGCATTTTAATTTGGCTGGCACATCCGATACTTTCTTTAGCTTTTTACACATTTACGATCTTAGTCGGTTAGTTAATGGCACACGTTAGCATTACATACACTTATGCCCAGGGGCGCGTACAGGGGGAGGGGGGTTCAGGGGGTCCGGACCCCCCCCCCCCGCTCGCGCAGAAAACTCATCTAAGGGGGTCTAATTTCAAAATTTTTATGGGGGAGGGCCCCCCAGACCCCTCCTTCGCGTGCTCGCAAGTTTGGGTTACGGTTAGACCCCCCTGGTCCAAATCCTGTACACGCCCCTGATGCCTTCAGTGCATGTATGTGTTTGTATTTGAATTACATGCAATAAAGATTTAATAATAATGATTGGGTCAGCTCTCTCAAGAGTTTCTGTGAACAGAAGGAATGGGAAATTAGCGCGACACATGTACGGTCCTGCATTGTTGCCAAGCTTTAATACGAGTGCATACTTGTTATTACATTCAGGTCACATCGATGTCCGATGCATACAGACGAGCAGCGCAAGTCTGTGAGACTATTTCTTCTCGGACAACTCGGGTAACTATCACTGCGTTCACGCGAATCTAAGGCAGTCTAAACAGCGGGATTCATACACCCGCGTGTAACATACATTCGTTGAATTTGTTACACTTTATGAAAACTGTATAGATGTATCATTCTGTTTAGATGTTGTGTGAAGTAGTGTTAGTTTTTTGTGTGAAGTAGTGTTAGTTTTTTGTGTGAAGTAGTGTTAGTTTTTTGTGTGAAGTAGTGTTAGTTTTTTGTGTGAAGTAGTGTTAGTTTTATGAAAACTGCATAGATGTATCAGTCTGTTTAGTTGTTGTGTGAAGAGTGTGCTGTTTTCTCTGTTTCTCTAGCTAACTGTGGCAGTCTTGTTTGTAGGGCATCTCAGCTAGAGAGCGAGGAGGTTCATGTCGACATCGATACGTATGATGATGGTGACAGCCAGTCTCTTCGTGACTCACTGCACTGGGAGGTGTCTGCTTCGAACAACCCCAGCCCAGCTGACTCCACCTCCACCACCAACAGTAGGCACTATTCATGCTTTACATATTGCCACAGTAACTGTGCCATTTCAGAACTTTTAAAAATCAAACGTTGCTGCCGTAAAGAATTGACCAACGTTTCTATAACCTGTAAGCTTAACTATTAAATGCTCGTTAACCACAGGCACAAATTCCAAAAAAAGCAAGAAGTCGAAGGGATATCGTAAGAAGAAAAACGTACGACCCCCGACACCTGCTATAGAGACTATCACCCTGAACTGACCTGCCAGTAATGCAGCTCCTGAACAGCTTCATCTAGCTCCTAATTATCTCCACTAATTGGAAATTAGTGGAAGCCCTCAGAGAATCTGCACCGCAATCCACGATGTGTGTAATTGATGTATCAAGTGTCAACTGTAGAATAAATAAATCTCTTCACTTTTGCCATTCTGAGTGGATGCAAAATCTGATTGGTTTCGCTGGCGTGGTCACTGTGTACGTTTAGTGTTCCTGGCATGATCTGAGTGCTTTCTAAAGTTATATGAGTTTACCTCAGACCTGTAACGTTGTACGGAGCTTACGGATTCACGGTGAAAAGTTCTTATGTTGGGTGTAAACTGTAAATGCAGACAGTGCATTGTGGTGGTAACACCAGGGTTGTGTAAGAATTAGCAGAGTAATATATTGTCAGCATGGTTACTGCTTGCTTCTGTTTGTACATATAGTTTATTGTAAAATGCTTGGTTGTAGAAAACGTTTTATTTAAATGTGACATTTGATAATGGCATAAAGCATTTATCCTGTGATTCTGCAATGTGGTAGAATATAAACCTCGATTAACGTGGTTATTTAAAACCAGTATGACAGCTTGAGGTTATAGATTTCAAGTATTGCAAGCTGCTTGTCTAACAGGATTTATAGGTGAGCAGCCGCACTGGGAAGGTATGATCTTGTTGTATTTGTGCATGAACACTACCGCTGATGCATGAAGTGTAAAAAATGTCACAATAAAGACGAAAACACAATGTATTGTTGTAAAAGAATGGTTGGAGTATTGTGTACTTCTAAAAAAAACTGCCTCTAACATTAAAATAATTTATTTTATAACCATTACACGATGAATGGGTTCCCATCTTCTGTTAAACATCTGTTCTTCTATCATGGTTCCCACGAAAATGTGAATTATTTTTGCAAGGACTTTTCAAGGACATTTCAATGACATGTTTTTTTCAAGGAGAATCTGTGACAAGTAGTTTTAGCTTTTTAGAGTCATCATATATACCTTAGATTCATATATAAAGCAAAAATAGTTGTTTTACACGAGCGCCGACAGCAGATTTAAAAAAATGCTATAGTTCGCCGATTACCGATGTACATAATAGTCGTTTCATATTGTCATTCACGTAGATTCATGTGATGGTCCTGTGACAATATGTAAAGCTTTGATGTAACATGTATCACTCGGAACTATATATCACACAATGTACTGTGTATCACTCAGAAATTTTATTATTTTAACTGCTATGCTCAACACTTGCATTTATCAGAATTTTTCTCCATGAAATACATGCAATAAAGATTAAATAATAATCATAATAATAAACAGTTGCCGGTTCTTTACGCTGACCTTTTATCTGCTGTGTCAGGCAGTAACATTAACAGTGAATCATTTATTCCTTACTCCCCTCTCGCGGATGGTATCGCCCATGACCAGTCAAGCATGGAAAAACTTTTGCAGGTAAATGGCCGTATTTCAGCCGAAACTTTTTCACTCCTCGATGCACAAAATGTGAATTTACGCCTATAATACACGCGTACGCGTGTGTGCGACCATACCCGCATGTGCGGGTCCGTTAGTGTGTGTGCATGTGTGTTTGTGTGACTGTAAAAATGCGTTTTATAGTCGTATAATCATATTTTATGCTTTGGGGGGATGAAAATGTTGAGGCTGAAAACCAGCCATTTGCCTGGCAAACTTTTCACCGTGCAACTGATGCCGTGAGCGATACTATCCGCGAGAGGAAGATGAAAATATTGAGGGGAAGGGAGTGAGAGGGTAGGAGGAAAGAAAGAGGAGAGAAAGGAGGTACGGACGGAGGGAGGAATGCAGGCGGAGATGTGCACACGCACGCGAAGTCACACGCGCAGACAAACGCACGTACGGCACAAACGGCACCTTCTAATATAGTTACTTCTCTCGCCTTCCGCTCACCCTCCCCTTCCCCCCGTGACTCTCTCTCGCTCGCTCGGTCTCTCTCTCAATATTTCTCTTCACGCACGCATGCACGCACGCACACACATACACTCTCTCTCTCTCTCTCGCTCTCTTTGTATCTCTATCTCGCAATTTTTCTCTTTCTCGGGCACTATTTATATATATATACATACACACGTGTATGTATGTACGTACGTACGTATATACCCCTACACCCGGTATTTGCGTCTTGGACAATAGATATCTCACTCGATGAACAAAACATGCACTGAAGTATTAGTATTTGTAAAACAAGTTTATTTAGTGCAAAAATTTGCACATCATCTTGCTTGTCAAGTATTCTATGATGTAAGCCTATAACATTGTAACGCCCACGTTAAAAGTAGTTGCTGCCAACAGTTTTTATTTTAAATAACTTTAACTTTTCATAATGTAACATAAGTGATATTTGAAGACAACCTTAACTTAACAACATTCTAGAAATACTAAATAATATTACCACCATGATTTCATGGTACCGATTTGTTGCTCCAGCACAGCGAGTATTTTTCGTTATTATAAAACAGTAAAAATTTTATTATCATAACTAAAATCATGCATAGTTCAACAAAAACAATGCTGAACGCTCGAGCAGTTATTCTTTAAAGAAACTTAATTACAAAATCAACTGCCATATAGTGCAGTAGGTATACCATTTCGCGTATGTACATACAAGGCCAGGGAGACATAATTACTCTATTATGTTAAAACCAATGTTGACAAGAATTATTTTGTGCTCTGGTTTGGTTAAAAAAATTTGCCTGACAAATATGCATTTAGAAGTCTCCTTCAGTTTACCATTTGTACATTTAAACAACATCATAACCGCGTTTGTATATTTAATAAAAAGGTTTTAAAGTGATACACGATAATGTGGAATGATCTATAATCGGTCTTTACCATAAGTCCAATCTAAGAACGACAACCAACGTCATGAATGTGGATCGTCTGTGACATCGTGATTGTCGGCTGCATGAACAATGCTACGCATGCAGTGCTGCCACTCTTGAGAACCAGCCTGGCGGCAACACGCAACTAGCAAAATCCCATACCTTCCTCGTGACTTAAATCCCTAATTACAGACACCACCCAGAGTTCTCCAACTGGTTTGATCTATACATAGTCAATATACATCTATACTAATAACTGCTCCCTGAACAAGCTTCTATTGCCCTTTCCCCATCAGTAAAAAATGTAGCAATAATAGAGTCTTGACGAATCAATCCTGCAGGGGGCAGTAGTGTCACACTGGCCAAAAACCGAGCAACTTCACTGCTATACAGTATTGTAGGCTTCGGCCACGTACTTGCGCAGATACGACATGTAGTCTACCATCATGGTAGCTATACCTTGTTCCACCAGCGCTTGCGGAAGCCAACCCTATCAGGAAAATAACCAGTAAGCCATCAACTCAGACAACCTTACATATTAAAGATGTGCATAATTACACTCCAGTGTAATTTAAATGTGTACTTTTAACGTGTACAGTCTTCAAAACATGGAGTCTTCATCACCAGGCAGCCAGGAGTGCAAAATATAGATAATATATATAATATATTATGATCGATATCTGACTGATATCACTAACAACTGAATGGAAATATGATGGTACAGGGCATGCTAAGGTGAAACACACCTTTAGGTTAGAGTTAACCACCCATGTAAATATGCACTTGTCAGGGTTATTAGGTGCACTCTTGATGACGTATCCTGCTACTCTGTTCTCTCCTCTGCAAGAACACACAGAAAAAAAAATTCAAAAGTGAGAAGAGAGAAGTGTCATCAGAAAGAATGCATCATAACTGCCATACGATTGTCACAATCACACTTCAGTAGTTACTCCCACAGCTCAGAAACACTGCTGCAACTTATACAATCACACACTTTAAAATCCATGCCCTAGAACTCGTAGTTAGACTGTCACCGATACCTGACGTATTTGTTCGTCGGCAGCATCTCAGCATGGTTAGTCCCGCAGCCTGCAGACAGGTATACGCCATCTCGTTTCTCGATGCAGCGTGCTGTCACAAAGTCCCTGGAAAGGTAATGAGCTCGTGAGAAAACACACACGGAAAGCAACAGCAACAACAACAGCAACAACAACAACAGCAACAACAACAACAGCAACAACAACAGCAACAACAACAACAGCAACAACAACAACAGCAGCAACAACAACAGCAGCAACAGCAATAGCCACAACAGCCACAACAGCAACAACAACAACAGCAACAACAACAATAACGAGTTGTTACGGATGGTCTACTGGTGATACGAAGTTCTGCGGTCGTACTGCTCACCTACTGCTGACAGTACCGCGCTCCCACATCCGCCGTCACCGTGTAAATCACATCCACGTGTTCATTCACATGCTGCAACACCTGAAACAAGCACACCACAATGACTCAACACTGCGTCACGGAGTCCCGAGAAAAAACACCCCGATCAGCTGTCTCGCCTGAGTCATAGATCATTAACCTCGGTGGTTTATATTATCACGAGTGTATAGAGAAATCTCTATATTATACACTCCTGATATTATATTATATAGATATTATTATTGGTTACTGGTTAGATTATATAATTAACCTTAAGCATTGGTTTACAGCGAACAAGAACAACACCTCGCCAACTGTTGTTGCGAAACCAGCGGCTTCTTATGGCACTTAACCTGGCATGCAATAATCTTGCCGTAAGTTAAACGAATGCACAGAGGCAGCGCTGCATGTCCTTACCCGGTTCTCCAGCAACGTTGGGTTCCATAATGGCGCCTTGGAGATATCCTGTATCATCTAGCCTGAAGATTTCTTTGGCACTCGTTGCTATTTCTGCCTGTAGAGTGAGAAACAGTCGCTATCAGTTAGAAGATAAATACACCTATTGAAGTGGCGGTGATAGCAGGGTGCCATAGAGTTTTAAGCAGTGTGATGAGACACTTGCAGCAGCAAAACATTGTGGTAGGGCCATATAATGCACCATGGTGGATGACTCGTGGGAAACCATTCAATTATATATCAAACTAGAGCACTCGGAGAGCACAGACCTCCGCCAAGGCAGCTGAATTCTCTCATGTGAAATTTTTTATTAATTAATTAATTAAGTGGAAAAATTAATTAATTAAATAATTAATTGGATCCGGATTAGTGCGAGCGTGCAGGTGGGGGAAGACTGTGGTTGCCCCTTAGCCTGTGGTTGCGTGTTTGTAAGTCTACAGCCAGCGCACACTAGCGAAAGTGAACTGAAACGTGCATGGTAACAAACACACAAACCCACAAAACACACAACCAACACTCAAAGACACGCCGGTGAAAAACATAACCTCCGCCAAGCCCCTGACGGAGGTAATCACATATAATGGATGACGCCAAACATTGCTATCCTCCATCTGATGATCTTTTCTTTTGATGCAAGCCGGCAACTTTGTGCTTCACAGATGGCAGCCAGACAAGCCTGGTATCAACTCAGCATGGGGTGCTGTGCCTGCTTTTTATTAGGGACAGCCAAACATGCGTGCACTCCACTAGGCTCGACCAGATATGCTCACACGCTATAGGATACGCACCTGTAGAATGAAACATTTTCCTATCGGCTGCCACTTGATGCTGTGAACGGTGTCGGAGCCCGACTGCTTTTCCATGTGCCACTTCTCACGTGAGTTGAGGATGTCTAGCAGCATCGCCATCGCTTTCTTGCTCAGCTCAATGTGATGCGAATCCTACCAGGGCAACAGATGTCAGATCATTACAACCTTAGTGTTACAGCGACCAACAATCGTCAGCGAATCAGGACCCTCGCATTACAGCGAGCAACTAATGTCAGCGAATCAGGACCCTCGCGTTACAGCGAGCAACTAATGTCAGCGAATCAGGACCCTCGCGTTACAGCGAGCAACAATCGTCAGCGAATCAGGACCCTCGCATTACAGCGAGCAACAATCGTCAGCGAATCAGGACCCTCGCGTTACAGCGAGCAACAATCGTCAGCGAATTAGGACCCTCGCATTACAGCTAGCAACTAACATCAGCGAATTAGGACCCTCGCTCTACAATCGCTGTCTATGAAATCAACGAATCGTGAGCCCGGTTCCAGCAATGACCGTCTGCGATCAGCGAATCATACTTAAGCCACAGTCCAACGCTGACCAGTACACGTCAGTGAACCGACAATCCTTGAGTCATGTTAAACCTTTCCTTGTACGTCAATACAGCTCTGAGCTTAGACGGCTGCAACACTAGTCATGATAGTAGAGCAATACTAGTGTCGTGCTAGCCGACAGCTCAACCACATTTACTAGTTCTCTCAACCCCTATTTACCTCGATTTTTATGTCGAGCGAATGCGAGTGCCTTGACTTTAGAAACCAAATCATTGTATATGACTGTGTAAAGATATCTAGGTGTTACTCCCTGGACACAAATATCTGGTGCTGATCACAACTATCCAGTGTGATAGCTCATACACAGCTATATGATGTTATACACAGCTATCCAGTGTGATAGCCCATACACAGCTATCTGATGCCATACACAGCTATCCAATATGAGAGCCGACGCACACTGATGCAACAGCTGGTTGCGACTATTACATGATGTCTTTGGAGCATACATCGATGTGCCGAAGCCCCAGGCACCGCTCACCTATTGGCTGCACATGCTCGCACGTGTATGGCATGATATGGGTCAGTGGCAAGCTACTCCTAATGTTCCTTCCCCACACGACACGAAACGCAGTCACCACCCCGTATATAGGACATAAGTGACGTGCCTAATTTGCACTCACCTCAGTGAAGTGCATAATTTATTTGAAGTGTATACTCTATTAATCACTCTCCTGACGGCATGACATCCCCGGCACATGACGTTGATGTTGTGACATGATGACATGATATTGTGACATGATGACATAATATTGTGACATGATGACATGATATTGTGACATGATAACATAATATTGAGGTAGGTGAGCATATAGTTGACACAGGACTAGGCTACGGAGACTGGTTAAGATTGTGTTGGCAACATCCATACAGACATGAGGATACGCCACTATGATGAGAATAATATAAGACACAAGGATGAGATGATATTGTGCTCTGAAGACGCACAGTATTATAGCAATAACAGGACACTGCCACTGTACCGACAACAGGTGTCATTAATTATAGCAACTGTTGCGGAGCAAGTTAGTAGGTTACGAGTTCAGTGACATTGTTTGACAGCAGCTACATATACGTTCAGTGACAGCCAGTGTATGCCTTCTGGGCATGGTCCAACCTAATTTAGGAAGCACCTACAAAAAGTCATAGACAAACTCATGCGACAATCGAGTAAAAGTCTCACCACGAAGAAAAAAACGGAAAGGTGGCCACTGCTAGACTGACAGCTTGCGCTAATGGGACAAAACAGGGTGAGAAAACAGAATCGTGACTATAGAGAGGAAAACACATGCTAAATGAGTATTTATCCTAACAGCACCCTTAAAACATTTCTTGCCAATTTCGTTCAATAATGACATAACAACAGATGTTTAAATACGTATGTGTAAATAAACTATTAATTAATAAATAATAAAGAACATAGATGTATCCCTAACCTCTTGAAGAATTGTGATGAAGTCATTTTGAAACATTATAGCAAATTTATTCGAAATACTAAATATATTGGTAGAATAAGTATTGTAAACATCTTATTATTCTGAAACTTTTCAGCTCACAGAAGGTATATAATACACCTATTAAACACATGCTATAAAAACATAGGCTAGCTCTGTTAGTTCTATGTCAAATAAAATATGGTAATACGTGCACAATGATGACAACGACCACGCGATTATCCGATTATAGTCAATTATCAATTGGTTTGGTGTAACTGATAATAAACTACAAAATTTCAGTCGATTCCCATCATTAGGATGTGATACATGTGATTCGGATTACAAATTGTGATACGGGATAATGCGAGGTGCCCGCACGATGCGAATTGAAGATAATATTGATTCAGTGTTGATAATGTTGATTTAATGTTGATAGTGTTCAATGAAGATCATGTTGATTCAATGTTGATACTGTTGAATGAAGATAATGTTGATTCAATGTTGATAATGTTGAATGAAGATAATGTTGATTTAATGTTGATTGATAATGTTGAATGAAGATAATGTTGATTCACTGTTGATAATGTTGAATGAAGATAATGTTGATTCAATGTTGATTGATAATGTTGAATGAAGATAATGTTGATTTCACTGTGATAATGTTGAATGAAGATAATGTTGATTCAATGTTGATTGATAATGTTGAATGAAGATAATGATGATTCAATGTTGATAAGTTTTGAATAAAGATAATGTGATTAATGTTGATAGTGTTCAATGGCAGATAATGATGATTCAATGTTGATTGATAATGTTGAATGAAGATAATGTTGATTCAATGTTGATAATGTTGAATGAAGATAATGTTGATTTAATGTTGATTGATTAATGTTGAATGAAGATAATGTTTGATTAGGTCACTGTTGATCGACACAATGTTGGAATGCAGATTAATGTTGATATCAATGTTGATAATTGTTGAAATTGAAGAATAATGTTGATTCAATGTTGATAATGTTGAATAAAGATATGTTGATTCATGTTGATTTGATAATGTTGAATGAAGATAATGTTGCCATTCAATAACTGGTTGATTAATATGTTGATGAAGATAATGTTGTCGATTCTAGATAACCAGCATGTGATAATTGTGAATGAAGAACATATGATAGATTCAATGTTGAGCCTTTGATAATGTTGAATGAAGATAAGTGTTGATTCACTGTTTGAAATGTTGAATAACGATAAGGTTGATTCAATGTTTTGATACATTGCAATATGTTGAATGCAAGATAATGTTGATTCACAACTGTTGATATATTGAATGCAGATAATGCAGATTAGGAGATAATTGTGGTGACGGATACAGCGATGGTCCCGTCGATTGTGAAATGGAATAGTGTTGTGCTTACAGACAGCTGAATCATGCGATCCGGCCCCGTGTCACGTGTCCCGTGTGGCACGATGAGGACTCAGCTCTGCATCTTCAAACAACTCCGCTCAGACTCTGCAACAGAAAGGCCAGTGCGCGACATGACATGGTCGCCTACAAATGCTCCCGATCGTAGGTATCATACACATCCATTCACAGACACTTCGCGATGTTTTGTATCACAATCACAGAGCACAGTGAGACGACTGTTTTATTTTCTTTGCCCTGTTAATAAAGCATTTAAGCAGGAAGTCTGTGCCCTACGTGGCTAGGCCTGACGCATGCAGGGCTCGCCTCCTGGATGTTTTAAAGGTTGAGCCATACTAAGGACTGTGAGCCACACCAAAGTTATTTATTTAGC